TTGTTTATCATTGAATGATTAACATTTGTTATAATAAAACAATAAAATAGTTATCGGGTGCTAGTTTATAACTAGCATCCGTTTTGCTCTTATATAGGACTCCATCGACTATCATTAAATTTGTTATTTAAGTTGTTATTTTATATAAAAATATAAGGATGATTATGAAAATATATCGTGAGTATTTCTAATATACCAAATGTTTATTATAAGTTTTAACAAAATTCTGAAGGATTATGCCCTTGCTTTTAGTGTATCTTGATAAAATTTTATTATTGTTACTAAACCGATACCTTTTTACACTTTGACCAATTCTTTAATCACTCACTACCTAAATTAATAATTAAATAACTTTATAATTTTATTTTCAACATCTTGTAAAAATTATTATTTTAAATACGATCATCGTTGTACACTTGTACTTCCCAAGTCCCAACATGTTTCTCTTGTTAAAGGGAATATATGGAATATTATAATAAAGAAAGGTTCAAAAAAAAAAAACGAATTATATAACCTTTGAATGATATTGCATCTTCAAGTGCCTCCAAACTCTATCGCTTCGGTGTGAATTCGAAAACATGTCGCATTAGGTAAACTAAATTTGAATTTCTAGAAGAAATATATTTGTTGATTCATCTATTTTGCATTTCTATTTGATAATCATTGTTTCTAGTTGGCCATCTAGGTGATTTCTACATTCAGTTTACTCTGTGTGTTTGAATTACTTAATTTGGGTATGAATCTTTTGAATATGATAATAAGAGATAAGTTGTGTTTGGGTCGTATGATAAATGCATATGCCATATGTTAATCAACAAGTAGAGATGAGAAGAGATATAAGAATATGAACGTTTTGGATAATGCAAGTGATGTTTATTTTATTCTACAATGAAGCGTTATTAAATAAATTAATTCATGAATTGATTAAAACTTAAATAACTTAATTTGTTCATGAAAAACTACTGAAAAGTAAATACATTTCACTAGCCTATAAAAGTACGAAAAAAAAAGGATTACCCGTTAGGCCCAATATACATGACCATGCAGGACTGGTCCAAAGCCCATCCAAACAGCCCAAATCCCAGACGCATTTTCTTGTCCATGTATGTGTGGATCGAATCTGGATCTTTAGATATTTGGAAATAAACCCAATTTGTGTGTTATGAAGGACAAAGAGAAAATGACTCATTGTATAAAATGAAAACACTTCAATTTTGCATAATTACAATTTGTTGTGATGCCTGAAATGAATGAACTTCATATGGAATTCTGTCGTACGAAATTGCTATTCAAGTTTGAAATAACGTGTTGAAGTGGTTGGATTTCTTATCTTCTTTCCTTTGGGAAGTGAAGAATTTGTTGGAATGGATAGATACAAGATCAATGTCGGCAATAAGAAAAGGTTTGGAGGTTATTGTCTTAATAACTATATGGGTATGGTCGTATATAACTATGATAGAGTGATATAATAATCATTTGCTCGTTTAATTGGTTTAGTAACAAGAACAATACGATCAAAGTTAACTGGTCCATGTGGGTTCAAAAAAACGATTTTTAGTACTTTCCTTTTAATTGTTTTTAGCATTTTTTTGCTAGTTGAATACAACCTTTAATTGTTCAGAAAGAAATTGAAAATAAATCCATAATCCGCAAATTTCCACCGTATATCAATGCAACCCTTTGATTCTGACTTTATTTTTTTTTTCTACTAAACAAAATAAATAAATAAATAAAATTTTGGTGCCACAAATCCACAATTTGAAACTAAAACTTATAAAAAGTTTAAAGCAAACAAACCCTAAATAAACCACTTTCAATTTCAAATAACTAAATTCAAATTATGATGAAAGTCGGAGATAATAGAAATGTTTTGGTAAACTGATGAGTGATGATGTTGAGAAAAATATTTACTTGATTGGAAGTTCAAAATCGAAAAACTTGAGATGAATGTGTTGTTTAAGAAAGCAATCGATGTACCCGCACAACATTTGTAATCATATTTCATAATCATTGTAACGTTCAAGTCAAAAATCATAGTAATTCACTTTCCGGATTTTATGAACACAATGTGAAACATGTAATAATTTGGTAATGAGTATCTTGAGTTGGAATCGATGAGGTCATGATTTCATTTGTTAGGCCAAACGAAATGAAGTGGGAAAAGGGTGCGGGAAGCATTCCCGCACCTCGGAACATAATATCGAGGCAGTGGGAAAGGAACCGCAGGATTCAAATGAGGGGAATGTTCCCCGCATTCTCCCTCCTTCTCTCATTCGTCCATTTTCCTTTTTTTTTTACTATCCGCTCCAATGGTTAGTTTTAAAAAAAATATATTTTTTTTATTCAACAACAGCTACAATTCCAATATATATATATATATATATATATATATATATATATATATATATATATATATATATATTACCATTTTACCCAACTATAAATACCTCATTATTTTCAACTTCAAATTCACATTTTCTTCTATCAATTTCTCTCTATTTTTTTTTTAAAAAAAATGAATCCCCACAATCCAACCACAAACTCCGATAGAAGAAAAAAAACCAATGTTTCGAGTTCAAGCACCCCAACTCGAAACATTTTCGCCATTGAGTCATCTCAAGGGGTTTATCGGCGAGTAAATTACACAAATGGTCCCTATGGTTTAGGGTAATTTGCACGTTTAGTCCCTAACTTATTTTTTTAACTCGGAAGGTCCCTACTGTTTGTTTTTGTTACCCGCTTGATCCCTACTGTTTGTTTTTGTTACACGCTTGGTCCCTGTCTTACCTAAAAAGACTATTATTTAAATAGAGAAAAATGGTGGGGTATGTAAGGTAAGGTGATGGGGTGGGGTTGGAGGTGTGTTTATTTAAATAAAATAAAAAAATCAAGTGAAAAATAGTATTTTTTAAATAAAACAGGGACCAAACGCGTAACAAAAACAAACAGTAGGGACCTTCCGAGTTAAAAAAATAAGTTAGGGACCAAACGCGCAAATTACGCTAAACCATAGGGACCATTCGTGTAATTTACTCTTTATCGTCCCCAACTTGATGCCCCCATTCAGCTTGGACGCGGACAAAATGCGGAAAATGACATGGCTTAGGTTCTGGTTGAACCACCTATCCTCACAAATTTCCCAGTGAGTAACATCTTTAGGAACCAACATAAGAACACTTTACAATCTTGCGCCCTTTTATAAGGGTGATTTTGAAACTCTCAAGGGGATTACATTAGTAGGTTTGGTACCCCAATAGTTGATACCTACCAAGAATTTGTGGATACGAACTCGCATATCTATAAACCAAGATTTGTCTCCTAAAAAATAGTTGCTCTTTCTAGTGACTATCGTATATAGTCATTGTGAATATCTTGAAATCTAAAACTCCCAAAGACCATCGGGCACTCATTATATTGATAAAGACCTAAAGATGCACAAAAGGCTGGACTTAACTAATTATAAAATAATATATTTTTATAAGTGACTATTACTCATGTAATATAATTGAAACATAAGTTTATCGTATCACACTCAGACCAAGTTGAGTACATGGATCCATCAACCTTATTACTCCAGAGTCCATCCATATGAATCTATGCTGAAAGTTACCGACATAAATATCTACAAAGCATCATTCGGCCTACGCTCTATCAACATTGAGATCCAGATCATGATGTGTTGTCAATCAACACATGTATACAAATAATGTTAGTAATATTACTAAATGTGTACTACGTAATGATCACATACGTATATAACTTACATCACATTCCAACCAACCCAATTTACAGTCCACATACAAGTGCGTCCAACACTTAACCGTCAGCATAACAGTGAGAAAACGGTAAACAAACAACAAAAAAGCATCTCGTTCTTCACATAGAGTGTGAATGGTAGGGTCTAAGCCTATCCAACGATGATGGTTGTTGTCTTACAATGCCTTTTTTTTCATCTGTATCCATAGGGACTTAAACCATACAAATACATGTTTTTCTATATGAGAACGCCTAAGAGGTAGATATAACATTTTGTATTCTTCCCGAAGAAATCGCCTTTATATCCGACGAGTCATTATATGCATACATCTACTCCTATCCGTCATTCGGCGGGTGCACAAGCATACCTAACCCATATTTATGGTCCCATAAGTCACTCCATAAATGTTTTGCACATTTTAGACACGTTCTTTGTGTTCTATAATGGTTCTTCGCATTTCGGACATGTCAGAATTACTTTAGTGTGTTCCGGAATACCAAATTTTGATATATAATAGCCTAAGACACCAACTAAACTAGTTTTTGGTTGATCCTAACACTAAATTAACTTAAAATGTAACATCTACAACACTGTCCGAAATATGTTATTTGTGTTCCGGATTTACTCTCTTACACCAATAATCTTAAAATTAAACAACTAAAAATGTAGGAGTAAAAGAGCTTATCCGTAAAACTTCCAAATCATCAGAATCGTGTGTCATATCTTCATTGATTGTTTAGTCCGAAGTGTGTAGAAGGGTCGGCATGTGTCGAAATAGGTTTGTAGTTTGTACTCCGAAATGTGCCATAATAAAATCCAAAATAAAGATTTGTAGTTCAGCAGTTTGTACTCCGAAACATGTCGGAATGGGCATTCAAGAATATGTTGAATTGGTCGGGTCGGATCCACATACTTCGAAATGATCTTCGGAATAGACCATTCCAAAAAATATGATTATTTTGCCAAAAAGAAAAAATCAATTGGTTATTTTTCTAAAACCAATACAATACAGAAATGATTATTATTGATAAAATAGCTTTAAAAATTAACCTTAGTTATCATGCGAAATTTTAAAACTAATCCACGTCAAAACACAAAAGAGTCTAAATTAAAAATACAAGAGATTATCTTTGTGTTACTTTCACACTTCATGATCCATAAACCCTAAAAACGTATCTCACCCCAAAACCCCCTTTTCCGTCAGCCGAAATCTTTCTTGCATCGTGCAATCCCAAAACCAGCAATGAGAAATCAGTGGCGTCTCCTCCTTCAACGATGCAAACCAGTTTCCGAGCTCCAGTTCAAGGTACAATCATCAACTACCATTCCTCTTTCTCGCAATCGTACTTTCCATTCACTCATCCCTCACTCGCGTACACTCCCCATTCATTTCCAAAACCCTAGTTTCCCTCGATTATTCACATCGTCATCTGAACTCGCTGTTGAACAAAATAAAGTCACAGATCAATCCGTTATTACATCAACATTGATCGAACTATATTCAGATCCAATCAAAACCAATGAAGATGTTATGCTCGAATTGAAGTCCAAACCCGACCTCGCTAGTACTGATTATGTTAACGAGCTTTTTAAAAACCGCAGCTCGGAACCTGGAGCTGCTAAGGCGTTCTTTGATTGGGTTATGTCAAAGGAAAGTGACAATTTGAGCTCGAATTCATGTAATCGGTTGTTAGGTATGTTGGGGGCAAATGGTTTGGTGAAAGAGTTTTGGGATTTAGTTGATATTATGAAGAAGAAAGGGTATGGAGTGAAGAAAGGATCGTCTGTTAGAGCCATGGCAAAGTTTGAAGAGGAAGGCATGAAAGACGAAGTCCAGAAGCTGAAAGATCTGTTCGCATTGGGATCTATAGATGCTTCAATTGAGAAAGTTAGCTCTAGAGTTTGTAAAGTCATTCAACAAACACCATGGGGAGATGATGTTGAAACAAAATTGCAGGACATGGGTATTGTGTATTCTGGTGATTTAGTTAAAATGGTACTCGAAAACCTTGGAACAGATCCTAATAAAGCTATTATATTCTTTAGGTGGATTGAGGAAAGCGGCTTATACAAACATGATGAAAAAACATACAATGCTATTGCAAGAGAGTTAGCTAGAGAAGATTGCATAGACAAGTTCTGGAGATTGATTGATGAAATGAGAACTAAAGGGTTTGATTTAGAAAAGGCTACATACATTAGGGTTTTGAATCAATTCGTAAGGAAGAAAATGCTAAATGATGCTGTTGATTTATACGAATTTGCAATGAGTGGAAACATTAAGCCCTCAGATCAAGATTGCCCCTTTCTTTTGAGAAAAATAGTGACAAGTAAAGAGTTAGATATAGATTTGTTCTCCAAAGTCTTAAAGATTTATAAAGAAAGTGGGAACACAATGAAAAATTCTTTCTTGGATTCTGTTCTCAAGTCTTTAACAAGTGTTGGAAGATACATGGAATGCAACAAGATCTTGAAATCCATGGAGGAAGTTGGTTTTCTTCCAGATGAAAACTCACAAGGTAAAATCGCTTTTCAATTAACTAAAAACAACAAAATCGAAGAAGCAAGTGAGTTTCTTGATTTAATGGAGTCTCCAAGTTACAAAACATTCGGATCTTTAATCCAAGGATATTGTCTTTCTGGACATTTGGAAAAAGCTTGTGATTGTTTTCAAAAAATGATTACAAAACAAGGCCCCGATTTTTCCGGATACCCATTGGAGACAATAACAAATGCATATTGTGCAAAGGAGAAACCACTCGAAGGGTATAATCGTCTTTTGGAAGCGGTCAACGAGAAAGAAGTCAAACCATGGCATACTACATATAAGTTGTTAATCACAAAGCTTTTGGAACAAGGGTTGTTTCAAGAAGCTATTAATCTTCTTGCCCCTATGAAAAGACATGGATACCCTCCTTATTTGGATCCATTTGTGAAGTATGTTGCTAAAACAGGGACTATTGATGACACTTTGATGTTCTTGAAAGCAATGACTGTGAAAAAGGTACCTTCTTTTGCTGTTTATTTGCGTGTTTTTAAAGCTTATTTTAAGGCTGGAAGAGGTAATGAAGCTCAAGATTTTCTTGCGAAATGCCCGAGATTTATTCGGAACCATGTAGAGGTTTTGAATCTGTTTAGTGAGTTGAAACGTGGAAAAGACGATTCTGCCCCTACCCTAACCCTTACCCCTACCCCTGTGGCTGCTTAGGATTAAGAGTTTATTGTTTGTTTTGGTATGAGAAGTTTAGATGTTTAACTCTTTTTACATTGTTGATTTGTTGGATTGAAATCCACATAGCTTTTTGTTATTTACAGTTGTAATAATATTTTTGCTAGAAATCATTTATGGTTTGTACCCTTGATAAGTGATTATACCTTATGTGGCATTCAAATGACTTCATGTGGCATTCACATCAAAAATCAATTTATGTCTATTTTGTTTATTATTATTATTTTTTGAACGGTTTGTTAATGGTTAGAAGTTAATATCACCAAGTTAGCAGAAATCGCCAACGCCCGAATTAGAACCCAAAGCCTCCAATCTAATCAAATTATTGATGGATGTCTCAAACAAATGTTTGAGCTTTAAGTGATATCGACTCGAATTATCTCGATTATATAAATATAAATTAAATAAAGAGTAAATATGCAAATATAATTAAGGGTAATTAAGTTCTCAAACTCCACTCAACTTCAACCGAGTTGATTCCAAGTATCTTATGAGTTGACCCGATGTATTATTACACACCCTTAATGTTACCAATATGACAATATGAGAAGGTGAAGAAAATAATGATGTCGAAGAGTTTTTGCCATGTACTTAGTAGAATGGGAACAATTTGGATCGGGTAAGACTCGTGGGTATGAGTCACACCTTTTATATTATTTTGTTTGTCAAATCATGTCATGTCATCTTTACATCATTCTATATTTGTTAGGTTCCATGTCAAATTGTACATTTTACATTAAAATTGAACAACCATCGTAACATTACTCGTCCACCGGGCACTCTTCTATGTTGCCATCTCCATACCATTCAAAGTGACGTCTAGGCGGTGCCGTGTTCATCAGTGTGGAGGAGATGCCCTATCAGCCTCCTCCACTGCATTGGTACCCATACTGACTAGCTTAATAGGCAGTACAATCTAAACAAAATAAATTTCTAGGTTTAGTGTCGAGCCTATCTTGATATGGTGTAAATTAATGTTAGTGACTAATTTTAAACAAGTCCATTAATTGGTTATTCTTTTTGACATTCATTCTAAATGAAAAGGGAGAGAATGTAAATGAAGGAAATTTTTAGAGTAAAGAAAAAACTGAAATAGATTTATTCATCTTTGAGACATGTTTAATAAAAATTGTTGGTAGTCGGAAACTGAAAACTATAACTTTTATTTGGAGCTGAAAGATATAGTTTTTATTTATGTGTAAAAAAATGACATTTGATAACTAATACATTATTGTTTGTTGTTATAATATAAACACGATTTTTTTAAGTTACTTCAAATAATTTTTTTGAATATGAGTTTTTTAATCAAAACTAAAGCTTTAAGATCGTACTCTAAAATGAAGTTTTTTTAAATTGACTTTTTTTTTTGTTAAAAAACACTAAATGCTTTAAGCTCCTAAAAATCGTCAAGAGGCGTGTTTTGCTACAACCTTTTAAGAGATTTTAGTTGTGTTTAAAGGTTTTAATTTAGAACAAAGTTTCTAATTCAAAACTCACTTCAAGTATCTTTAGAGATTTATAACTTTTAATTTTTGGGTATATTTGGCGGCAGTGATGTACATTAGCAGTCTCGGGTCGGTCTCAAAATGGTCCAAATCTGTTTGGGACCTGTCTTCTCGGAATTGTTCTGTCTTTTTTCGGACCAGTTATGAACGGTCTTGAGTCGGTTCTTTTCGCAAATATGTGATTAACACCAAAATGATACCTTAAGATTTACTAAAAATGATAGACTAAAATTTAGTAAAAACAAAGAAGGAAGTTGGTTGATGTGTCATTAAAAAATATGTAATTAACACAAAAACTATATGTATATAAACTTTGGTATCCGGTCCTTTTTTTGAGACCGGTCTCAGATGAACTAGGAACGGTCTGGTCGGTCCATTTTTTTTTCACACCAGTGTCAGGTTGGGCCGATTTTTTTTGGTCCGGTCTCTCTTTAGATCGGTTCAGTCTCTTTTTTTAAGACCGATTTAAGACAAGTCTTTTTGTTCATGTGTACTTGGCGGCGAACTTTTGAAAGGTTTTAGTTTCTGCGATAAAAATCTTGAACTAAAGAAAAAGCTTCGTTCAGAATTACAAGCTTAAAACTTTCATTATAAACAAAAAGCTCCTAATTTTACATTTTTGAAAGCTTTTAACTTTTTTAAAAAAAAAAACCTAACTCACACACTCACAAATCATATTCCTAAATCTACACATTTTGTCAACCACGGGACTTGTACCCTCGATCACTTGGCAATTAACACCTTTCCAATCATCTGATGCCGCTTACAACTACTTTTGTCGAACAAATTTATACAAATAAAAGTTACAGCTTTTAGTTATTTTTGCCAAACATATCCTTTATGTTTTAATTTGAGCTTTTGGCTTTATAGATGTATTTTTATATAATTTCAAAAGCTAACAACTATTTTTGACAAAGATTTCTTTACAAACAAAAACTATTGCAGCTACTTTTTGCCAAACATATATCCATAGAAACTCAAATTTCCAAATCTAGTCTAAAGTATGATCTTATTGGGTAGCATTTGGTTTCGTCCGTTGGAATGAGTTATCATGTCAAACTCATTGTTTCCTTTCTTTTAGCTTATTCAAAGCATGCTTTATCAACCCAAATTTATCAACTCAATTAATTCATATTTCATCATGTTCTTAGTCCATGCCCTTCTGGAAAAATCATTCCTAAATCAGCTATAGCAACTAGAAAGCCACATGCAGCCATAATTCCCAGATGAAAATTATGCACAATTGTTTTGTACTTTATGCATTCAAGTAAAAAAAATACTAGCTCTACAAGATAGTGTTGTACCATGTGCAATGTCGATTGTACAGAAAGTGACTAGACTTTCACTTGTTTACACGCCATTCTGGTAAATGGACATGTGGTCCGGGCCGAAGACACTCATCGTGAACAAACCGCAATGAGGGTGACCAAACAACAAGGTATGAATAAGACTTATTGTCTCTTACTAAAGTTTCTTCTCTTTGTAAAATTTGATTCTTGATAGGCCTTTGTCATACAACTCCAAATACATTTGGTACAAGTTGTTATAGCATGGGTTAATTTTGTTTTTGTTATAAAAAAAATGGTATGTGGTATTTAGTATTTACCTTAGAATGAAGCGAGGGTGGATTTTTGAACTCGTGATTCCTTCATGGGTGTTGGAATGTAGGCAAGAAACAATGGGACAATTAATGTTGGAACATTGGATATGACAAATGGCAATCAACTTGTCATCATTATTCAATTAAACACAACATATGAATAAATTTGACTCAAAAAACATTCAATATGAGATTTTATCCCGTCACTATTTTCTTGATTTTTTGTAGGATTATTCAAGATGGATGGACTCACTAGATAAGAAGAGCTTTTAAGAGCAAAGTAAAACTATCAATATTAAAAGTTTATAAATATGAAATTTATTTGCTAAAAGTAAAATTTTAATTTCTATAAAATTGATTTTAATCGGATTATAATCTTTTAAGATATTATTTTAAAATAAATTGGTTAGAATTTTGTTTCTAATGTTCAATTTGCCTTTTGTAAAAAATGTTTTGATTGACATCTTTAAACTATTGTATTTGGTTTTTCCGATTGTAAAATTGGTTATTATTGTATTGAAAAGTATAAAAATCACATTCACATTAGGCTTCGTACGTGTGAAAGATGTAGGTTCAATTCATATCAGACCAAACTAGAATAGGGTTATATACGTTCTCGTTGTTAGAAGAGGTCATTTGAGCGTATCGGGTATATCAAGGTTGGCAACATGTTTAAGTGAAAGATTAGGATATTAAGATAAAATGAGGTAGCTACTTTCAATTTTTATTTGACAATGTTACCTCGCCAGTGACCGGTGATAAATTGAAATATGGTCGATGATGGGGACGCCGACAATCACACATCAAGTGTCCCCACATTAAGATTAAAAATTAGGAAGCAAATAAGGCTTTAATGAGGACATGGACGGACCAAGTCGTTGACCCGAACACAATCCTATCACTTTGTAGTTATGTGTGTATGTGTGTGAGAGGAGGAAGTGTGGTGGCTAGCGAAAATCTATAACATTTGCCTAAAGTTGTGCAATATGTCATAAGAGTGGTGTAGCACCCGGTTCCTGGTAAGTATTTTATTTAAGTAATTTTTGCATTTTTGGCCTTGGACTCGACGAGTTGAAGGACCAACTTGCCGAGTAGAAGCGGGATGAGACGCGGGATTTAAGTGATTGACTCGTCGAGTCGGGTCCCGGACTCAACGAGTAGACTCTGACTGGACAAAACCCTAATCTGAGGGTTTGCACCCTATTTAAACAACCTTATGTAGCCTCCATCGCCCCTTTATGCTCCCAGAAACCCTCCATAGCAAACCCTAAGTGTTTTGGTGCAAGATCTAAGGCTTTTGAGTGATTTTGGTGGTTTTGTTCACAAGGAAGAAGGAAGAGCATAGAAGGATCAAGAGGGAACTGAAGGATTCGAGTTTGGTTCATCATTTGCAGTCCTTGAGAGGTATAAAGTCTGTACCTTGCTCTTTCATTTGATAAATCCCTTTTTGGGGAGATTTAGGGATTTTATAAGCTATTTTTGGTAACCAACCATGATTGCAAACATGGTTGGGGGTTGAGGCTTTGGAATCAGGTCTTTAAAGGGGTCACAAGGCAGATTTGGGTTGCTTTTGCACCCAAGGAAGGCCCCATGCAACACTAGAGCCATTTTAGAGCCTTTTTGGCTCAAAAGTTCCATGCATGCACGTAAAGTTCGTAACTTTACGTGCTAGATCGAGCTTAGGGGCTTGGATCTATCATTTGGTCAAGTGTTGTACATCAGAAATCGAGGATTTAGGGTGTGGATGTTATCGACTCGGCGAGTCCGTTCTGACTCGTCGAGTCCTTTGAGTCCCATATCTGTTGAGGGTCAAAAGGACTCAGTTGGGTGTTAGAAGGGTTGTAGCAGGACAGAAAGAGTGACCCAACGCATTG